GGATTAATTTGCCCTGAAACCTGACGGTGTCAACGTAAAGGCAAATTTATGACTAATTTCACTCAACCACCTATTAAGGAAAAATTTTAGAACACTCCTGATATTAATTCAGTCAAAAGTTGGTTTGAGATCAAACAGAACCGAGAGTGAACCAATCCTCTTGTAAGGTGGCTGAACTTATCAGGAGCGTACATATATTAATAAATCTCCAATTGGTTAAAAGGATAAAGTTTTTAACAAGTAAAAGCAATACCTTTTGTTTTTTTCTTCTCTCTCTCTGGCTGGAGCAACAAGCTGCATTCCATCACAGATAAGCAGCAGCAGCCTCGCTGCCGAGAGAACATACGGAGAGCTGTTGAGGCCATCGGCCTTTTAAAATAAATAATAAGCTTAAAATAAAAATATATAAGAACAGTTTTTAGTTAAAAATAAATTTAACTAAGCAAATAAAACCTTTGCTAATGAATAACGAATAATAATAAGAACAATAAGAATAATAACAATAATAATAATAAGTTTCACTTTAGAAGAGTGTTACTTTCTGGGAAAGGAATTAAGGAGCGCAGTGTTTAGGAGAGTAAACATGCTTTTAGGAAACTGGAAACTTGTGATTGCATTAGGAATTATTAGTGTGTCTGTAACAGGTTTGGTCTTCCTTCTTGAACCATATTGTGTCATTCCGGGAGCTCCACACTGTGATGTTATCAAATGGGAAACAAATCTAACGACCCCAACAGACCTAACAAATCTGAAACTCCTTTAAAAGGTGACGAAAATTTTATGATATAAAAAAGAGCCAAACCTCCCCAAACTATATGGGAAAATGTATGGCAAAGGTATGAACAAAAAAAAGCACAGGAAGTGCAAAAAGAATTAGAATGTGCAAAATTATGAAAAAAATAGGACAGCATCTGACTTTTCATTTTCAAATGCAAAGTGTGAAGAATGTACATGCTTTAATCATCTATAAATGGTTTTGACAGACAGATGTAAGTTTGTTGTATTAAAATTTGGTTTGTTTAATTCAAATCGTCTCTGAGTAACAGAGTCAAATGTAAAACTTGTTGCAGCTGTCCTCAGTCTCCCCTAACCTTGTCTCTCAAAGCCTGCAGCATCATTCATCAGTCATCTTGTTCAGCTCGGTACTTCTCTCCTCTCAGTAGTGGATGGTTGTTTACAGTGCACAATTTCCGGTTAGCTTCTTAGCTTAGCCTCCTTCACAGTGGAGCTGGTGCTCTACGTATGTCACGGCCAAACGTTAGTGATTGGGTGAATCAGATCCAACTGATTTAAACTTTAACAGAGGCCACGCCTCCAGCAAGAAATCATTTCTCAATAGTCGAGGGTCCAGACCCTCTGTATGAAGTGTAGAACAAGGGGCTGGTTTTTACCAGACTAGTTCTTCCCATGCATCCATGGGTTTTCTCCAGATACACAGGTTTCCTCCTACAGACCAAAAACAGAATGACTGCTGGAAATAGGCACCAGTTCCCCTCAACACGGAAAGGACAAAGTGGTTAAAGAAAATGAATGGTTAATATAAACGTACTGATCTAAGTCAGAGGTCATCAACAGGGACAGGATTTTCTGCCAGCCTTTACAACCCATCTTTGTTGTACGACTGGATACCAAAATGACCAGAAACCACCAGTTAAAGATCTAAGTTAAATTAATTTATTTGCATAAACCATTTAATTTTGTCTGTTAAAAGGCTAGAAAAATGGGATTTCCTTTCAGTTGTCTAAGCAGGAAGAAGCAAAACCATGTGCTTTGCTTTTACTGAAGTTTCTTACCTGTAAGATTCAATCAGCCGTTCTACCTTCTGTGCTTCTCCCTGCACTTTGATGTGTGCCTGGAATTTCCTGAGCCCTTCATCCAGTTCTAAATCTGAGAAATCCATTTCATCCACCACACAGCTGGAAAAACAGACACGAGTGGAAACCTCAGTACTGTTGTTAGTAAAAAGTTACATTCAAGCATGATTAATATGAATGTTACAGTTAGAAAATCCTCAGAAATATAATACAGCAGGTAAAATAAGTATTGAACACGTCACCATTTTTCTCAGTAAATATATTACTAGAGGTGCTAATGACATGAAATTTTCACCAGATGTTGGTAANGTATTTCATTGTTTCTGATTTCATTTTTGCAAGATCTTGAGGGATTACCTTTGTGAAGATTAGGCTGGTCCTAAGTTTCATTAAGTAATTCGCTACATAATAAATCACAACACAGTAACTTTGTATTAAATTAAATAACTTTTATTAACTAAAATAATAAAACCACATCCAGGAACTCGTGTTAGTGGCTGATTCAACAGTCTAGCAGTCAGCGTTTAGCACTCCCACTGCACTGGCCCTGGTTTGACTCCCGGTAAATGTACATTTTATTTTTTCATGGTAAAAACCCCAAAAGTTGATCAATTCAAGATTTTAAAATACTAATAACTTTCTGAAAGTTTCATTAAGATTATCCAATTGGTTAAAAAGTTATACTGTTAACAAGTAAAGCAAAACTCTTGTTTCTCTCTCACTGGCTGGAACTGCAGGCTGCATTCTATCAAAGAAGCAGCAGCAGCAGTTACTGAAAGAACTTACATATTATTATTAATGATTT